AATATTGATAAAGTTTACCTTTATGTACAGAATCTGAATATCGCAAAATATTTTTAAAAATTGCAATAATATCGTATCGTGCGTTAAGTATTGTGATAATATCGTATCGTGAGTTAAGTATTGTGATAATATCGTATCGTGGGATGTATGGTGATTCCCACCTCTAAAGGGGAGAGGAGCTAAACTTAAGCTACTTAAGAATCTGCGACGATCAGTTGGACTTCTCCTTTTGCTCTGATGGACCCACCTGTTTTCAGTTTGCATAGTTTCTATCATCGGTTCTGAAAGTGTGTTACATTTCTATCTGGACAAGAAGGGTCATCACTCTCACTCTTTGATATGAAAAAAACAGCCTATTTACAAGATACTCTCCTTTTTCAAGGTGACCATATTGGATCCTGACATCTGGAAATAGTAAATGTTGCCTGCTCATAATCGATTTTTAGGTTTAGGCTAAAACCTAAAAAACAAGCAATCCTTGATAGACTAATTGGAAGCACTCTAAATTCCACTGATGTGAAAACTTTTTAAATTGATCAAGCCTGACTGGTCTCATTGTGCAATTTGTTACGGATCATTTTCTTCATTTTAGTTTGAAAACACAAGCAGGGAAGTATTTTTAGCGATGGCCATGAAATTCCACAACAACTAAAATAGTAAAATGACAAGAATGCCAATCTCCTTTTAGCATTTACATGACGGCTGCGCTTAGCGACGGCAACTGAAAGCAATTACAATAAACAACTCGACCAAGTGAGGAGAGAGTCGAGGTGGCAAATTCTTCCATGCAGCCTGGTTTGTATTGCAAATTTTACAGGGCAAAGCCATATAGGCAGAAATCTATTTCTGCAATGCAGCGAAACACATCTGGGTGCAAGATGCATGCTAATCCCAAATATCAAGGAGCCCAGAGATATTAAGCGAACCTTATGTTGCAACAGATGTGAAGCACACAAAGTCATAACTGCAGCTCAAGTATATTTAATGGAGCTTTAGATGCAGAAGTGTTGTAATTATGCAAATATATAATAGATAACCAAGAGCTGTTATTAGAAGCACAAAGCCTCAGGAGTTGTCTGTGTAGAGCTCCTTCTTATGTCTTAAAATATTTTTAAAAGCATATTTTCTGTATTGTAAGAGAAAACATTAGCTAACGTTGTACTGGTGGAACAGCTTAACGTTTGCAAAAGGGTTGATTGGCCTTCGCTCCTATGAATATGCAAACATCCTTAGAAAAAAGCTTTGAGCAATTCTTAGACATTTACTGCTCCACGCAGTCTGCTGTATTATGCGCCATGAACAATACGGTTTCATTACTGGCAAAATAGCGGATTTCAATACGCTAAACAACTCCGCCAAAACCACAAGAGAGTTAAGTACAAAGGGAGGTGTAGTTGGATGTTCTCAGCACTGCTTGGCTGGTTAATTTCTCTTTGCTTCCATAATCTTTTTATAACGCTCAATAATTGCCCCCTTTCAAAAGGCAAAAAGGAAGAGGAAGAGTAATGGACACTTGGACTGGTCGGATCAGTAAGTCGCTGCGGACGGCGTAGGTGTTGATTGGATGTATGTGCAATGGCAAGCTGTCTGTGTGCAGAATGCTCTGCACACATTGTATACTGAAACTAGACCTGCTGAAGAATTAATGTGCGCTGATTAAAAGGAAAAATAATATAAAAAAATAAAATATTAAAATTTAAGTCAGGTTTGCAAGGAAGCAGAAAGTGAATGGCTATTAGACTTTTCAGAAGAAATACGTAAAAATCTTGTACTGTACGGTTACTGTTAAATGACTAATTCTGCAAAAAAATTGCTACAAAAACACAGGAAATGTACAGTAATGTAACATTTTATATAAACATAACTGAATACTGTAACTGATTAGCACTCCAAAGTGTAGATTCTATACATTCTCTTCCTGTTTAAATGAATCACTGCAGTTAGTTTTATTTAACAGTAACAAACTGAAACATCTGTTTTGTGCGCCAGTACTTACAAATTGGTATGCAGTATTTACAAAAATATCTCGAGTATAATGGATTTCTCATTTGCAGTTTAACAGACTGTCTCTTATTTACCAAAGCTGTGTTTTTTCCCACTATACTTAGAGTTTAGCTGTAGTAGAAATGAGTCCCTGTTATTCAGAACCTTACATAAGCATGCTGCAGCACTAAAACATTGAGTTATATTCTACAAGGGTACTGAGCTTTTAAAGAAACCAACCAGTGTATTATTCTGCTTCTATGGAAGTCACACAATGGCTAATGTAGTAGTCCACACAGAATTTGGCTCATAATATCAGACCTAGTGATGGTTTTACTAGAAAAATAATTTGTGACCGAATAATATGTTATATTTCAAAGGCTTAAGGCAGAAACCTTCACTAACAGCTTAACTATAAATGACTTAATTGATCAGCATTTCAAATTAAATAATATTGAGTAAAATAAAATGAATATGAATTTTAAAAAATGACATCTATATGAATTTGTCATTACTCACCATGGCCAGAGGGATGATGGCCTGAATGTCCCGCTGCACTACCGTCAGTTCTGTCACGACCTTCTCTGAATCAGGCGGCGGGTTTTGTCCCTTATAATCAATGTTCCAGTTGATCCTTCTGGTTACCGAGAGGCTGGTGAAGTTCTCCATCTCAAAGTCCAGCTGCATCACCTCGACGTTGCCCACAACATCCCTGCCAGACCGCAAGGAGACAGCCATCAAACAGAGCCCAGCGTAAATGTCAAACACTACTCACAGCAACATATTCATTCAAACGCAGGAGAGTGTACATAAGCAGAAATTCTGGCAGAATATTCGTTTTCAGTGATGAAATTGTTGACTAGATAGTGTTTAATTATTAAAAATGTAATTTAGTGTGCGGTTGACACACTGCTTTTAATTTATTTTTAACGCTGTCCCCGAGTTAACCTCGAGTTGAAACGAAGAAATAATGCATTCATTAAGACTTCAGCGTGTGAAACACTGCAGCCAAGAGCTTTAGAGCTGAATAGATACTTCTCAGATGGCGCAGTTTCAGTATTTGTTCTTCACTCAAAACGATTCTACATTTACATATCTGTAAGTAGAACTTTTTGTAGACCTTCAATAGAACACCATATATATAAGTTCTGCATATAATCACATACATAAGCAGGTGATCACCTCCAAAGTAAGACCGTAGCTTTTTCTCTCTTGAATAGAAAGGAGCTGTTTGAAGATTGATCACAGTTTTGTGGTTGGATCAGTGAATCAATGGCCACAAAGCTGCCCTGGACAAGACCTCTGATTAAAATCTTGGCTCTAGGATTTGGTTTTTGCTCTAGTCAAATCAATGTCGCGCATTCAGCAGAGCTCAGAGGAGTTGTCAGCCACGGTCGATGATGACAACGCCCTATTGCAACTTTTCATTCAGTCGGCGGGATCATAAACAGCTCCTTCACGGTCTTCATCAGATTTCCTGACAGATACAAGGTAGATAACAATGCTATAGAATCTTAAAGGTCATAGCCAGGAGCAGACTGAAATATGAGTTTAGATTGGGTCATTATTCCACCCCGTTCTGCTCATGCAAAACCAGCAGAATGCTAATATTGCTGGCTCACTCTACCGTCTGTTCAGGGATATCCAGATATCAGGTTTTTATTTTTACTTGGCAAGCAAATTACAATGTAAATTGTAGTATTTATAACAGCAATAATCTGACAAAATGATATAAAAATGTATATTTTCAAATGTAGCAAACATTTACTAGGAATACACCGATTACAGCAAAAAAAACACATGTAGAAAAGCAGTCATATAAAATAATCAGGGTACACTTTTAGAACAGAGAGAGAGAGAGATACTTTTATATGTTTTTATATCAAAACATCAAGTACAAGTATCCAAAAGCTTCAATTCAATTTAATTTATACAGCGCCAAATCACAGTAACAGTCGCCTCAAGCTGCTTTATGTTGTAAGGTAGATCCTACAATAATAGATACAGAGAAAAAACCAAAAAACAAAAGAACCCCCAAGAACAAGCACTTTGGCAACAGTGGGAAGGAAAAACTCCCTTTTAACAGGAAGAAACCTCCGGCAGAACCAGGCTCAGGGAGGGGGCGGGGCCATTAGCTGCGACCGGTTCAAACTGCTCTTCAGCTCACACAGTGTTTTAGCTGCTGTTCTGTATCCACCCAGTTTCTGACTGGCACTTATTTATCAGTATTTAACTGCATCTCCTTTTAATTTTCCCCCTTTCTCAACCAGCACTACTTCGGCCGCCTTGCAGAGAGAAAGGGAGGATGTTGCATGTTGTGTGAATTTATTTGTGTTTTTATGCTAATTGTTTTGTTTTTCTTACTAACTTTAAGTTTAGGTTTACGAAACACGCACTCAGTCACCAATTTCTTTGGTTTCTTGGAAAATGAAAGCGATTTCTAACGGTAACATTTCAGACACGACAGCAGTATTTCTCAAGGTCTCGCACTGGAACTTAACACGTATCCCAGCCGTCAGCAGACAGCGTGCTGAAATTGTCTCATTTTAACTAATGATATGGTTACATTTTGAAAAATAAGGAACTATCTTAAAGGCAGAGAACAAAATAATTGGCATGTACTGTAATTACAGTGCACAGTTAAAGAAAAAACCTGATATTAGATGTTTTTCAAATGTTCCTATATCCTTTACTTATATAAGAGTGTCAAAGGGGGCATTATTGAGAAATAATAGTTTTCTAATGGTTTTCCTACTCACTTTATTAAATTATCATATACAACGACTTATTCAGGGATTGACTTTAAATGAAACAGAGAGAAGGGTCTTGTCAATAACCAATCACTGCTCCCTAATCTCGCCAGCTTTCTCCTTCTATCCTAAGGTCTGAGTGTTGAGTCTGTGCAAGGAGATTGCACATTCTGTTCTGCCTCTCACTTTGGAATAGACGTCATTAAATGGGCTGCAGATTTGCTTCTAACCGATCAATCGCTATTGGTAGGTAACCTGATTGTTCTCATGGCCATGCACACAAACTATCTGAACACCATCACCCTTTGTGCCTCCATCTACCAGAAACTTTTGCTTATCTTTTTACTATCACAACCATGCCAACGATTCAAGAACCACAGCGGCCTTCTTATTATGAAAATTTGTAGTTGTGGTTGCTCGTTTTCTTTTTGTTTTGCTTTGTTTATTTGTCTCTTTTAATTCTATGTTGTTGTACTTTTTTAACATGTTCAAAATAAAGTTTCAATCAATCAATCAATCAATCAAAATTCTGCATGTCGGGCTTGTAATCCTCAGGTTCAACAAGCCTAACATTAAACAATCTCGCTGGTGGTGAAGAGGCAAATGAATTCTCTTTCCAGCTGCTGCGAGAATCGTCCCACCCAAGCCTCACCTTTAGCGAAAACTGAAGCAGTAGCTATCTGTCCTTCACAAAAAGCAGAAAGCCATCCCAGCATTCAGTCTGAGAGGCTTTTAATGAAAGCTGGATCAAACTCCATGTACAACCGTCCGCCCACAAAAGGTTCCTCTCAGGAACACCGAGATGAGATCTCAGCCTATTTGTCTCGACATCACTCAGTGAAAACAAACACCTCCGTCTGTCTGTGACACACTCAAACTGTCATCAATACGGCCCACTAGAGTGAGTGCAGGTACAGCCGCTCAATACTACGTTGCCTGCCACCATGCTGGAGGGAAGGAAAATGGTGTTCACTATACAGAGGTTTAGGTTAGAGGGCATACTTCTTTTTTACGAGAGTGAACCGCAAAATATAAAACTGTAGCTGAGAGCTGCAGAAGAAAAGCTCGGATTTTTTGACTCAAAGGAGCTGTGGATTCACTTGACATTATGACATTAGTTTTTAGATCTGAATCAAAAGAGCAGATCTGAGGAATTATGGCACTGCTATCTGTTAGCACATGGCTTAACATGGCCTCTCTGCCTCCTTACATTGCTGTTATCTGCATCGTGACTCCACAGAACTCCAGAGTATGAGCTTCATGTTTAACTTTAGATTTTTGTCTTGCCAGTTAATGCCACTTCATTTTCT